TGCGAGGACTGGTCGTAAGTGCGAGGACCTTCCAGAAATGACTCTGACCAGCTAGCCACGCCCACCTAGTCACATGACCTTCAAGACACACCCACAAAATAAGCCACGCCCACAGAACCGGTAGTAAAAAAAATTTAGAACCCACTCCTGCTCCGGGGCCTGGGGAGGCCGTTTTCGCCCTCTCGGAGGCTTGAGGAAAACTCCCCCCCCCCGCTGTGGTGCAGGAAGCTGACTAGGCCACGGCCACCATGGCCCCGCCCACCCAGCAACCGGGCAAAGAACCCCTTGCTATAATTTTTGAGGCCCACCTATGATTAAGGCGCTCCTGCCTTGTATTTGATACCTACCATTGTTGTGACCTATAAGGACACAACTGCTTTTCTTTCATTATTATGTGCCCTCTTAGTATAATAGAAACCAGAAGCAGATAAATGATGCATGGAGTACCCATTCCTGCAAGCAGGGAGGGGAAAATGAAATCGCAAAGTGATTTCCCCAAAATAATACTTTGCAAGGCCTGGTCTTTTCCAAAGCGGTTCTTGGCACTGAAGCAAAGTTACCTTCCACTAATTCCACTTGAATTTTCCTCTGCCCTTCTAGTCAAAGGGAGCTGACAGCATTATTCAAACTGTGCTATTATGTGTATGCTTTTTAAAGGAATAACCAGCCCTCTCTGTGCTGCCTTTAAGCTAATTGTATTGGCCCAGACGTTTTTAAGGATAGGATAGGATAGGATAGGATAGGATAGGATAGGATAGGATAGGATAGGATAGGATAGGAAATAGGAATAGAATAGAATAGAATAGAATAGAATAGAATAGAATAGAATAGAAATAGAATAGAATAGAATAGAATAGAATAGAATAGAATAGGAATAGGAATAGGAATAGGAATAGGAATAGGAATGGAATAGAATGGAAGGGAAGAAGAGAAGAGAGAGAAGAGAAGAGAAGAGAAGAGAAGAGAAAGAAGAGAAGAGAAGAGAAGAGAAGAGAAGAGAAGAGAAGAGAAGAAGAGAAGAGAAGAGAAATAGAATAGAATAAGAAGTAGGAATAGAAGAGAAGAGAAGAGAAGAGAAGAGGAAATAGGAATAGAATAGAATAAGAAATAAGAATAGAATAGAATAGAATAGAATAGAATAGAATAGAATAGAATAGAATAGAATAGAATAGAATAGAATAGAATAGAATAGAATAACAGAGTTTGAAGGGACCTTGGAGGTCTTCTAGTCCAACCCTCGGCTTAGGCAGGAAACCCTACATCACTTCAGACAAGTGGTTATCCAACATCTTCTTAAAAACTTCCAGTGTTGGAGCATTCACAACTTCTGGAGGCAAGTTGTTCCACTGATTAATTGTTTTTACTTGTCAGGAAATTTCTCCTTAGTTCTAGGTTGCTTCTCTCTTTGATTAGTTTCCACCCATTGTTTCTTGTCCTGCCCTCAGGTGCTTTGGAGAATAGCTTGACCCACTCTTCTTTGTGGCCGTCCCTGAGATATTGGAACACTGCTATCATGCCTCCACCTCCCCCCAGTCCTTCTTTTCATTAAAAGTAGAAGTATTATCTGCTCACACTGTATTCATTCATTGGGTGATAAGTGGTTGATAATTACACAAAGGTAAACATTTCTCCTGTCCAGGTGTCTCTGATTCTAGGGGCCAGTGCTCATCTCCGTTTCCTAACCAAAGGAAACAGCATTGTCCGAAGATGTTTCCATGGTCAGCATGACTACACGGAACGCTGTTACCTTCCCACCGAAGTGGTACCTATTTATCTATTCACATTTGCATGCTTTCGAACGGCTAGGCTGGCAGGAGTTGAGGCAAGTAATGGGAACTCACCCTGTCACACAGTGCTCGGGTCTCAAACACACAGACCTTCCATTTTCTAGATGACAAGTTCTGCATCTTTTAACTGCTGAGTCATCACGCCCCTCCCTGTAGTCCCTGTACTGTATTAATTCGTTGTGTGATAACTGATGGATAATCACAAACATTTTTCAAATAATAGCAATTCAATGTCCGGGTATTTCTTAGCAATGACATCTGTTTGTCATTGTTTCATCTATTTTTTTTTTTTCATTTCCCAACCTAGTCCAACAACCATGCAGGGGTACTATTCAGCAGGTTCTGGAGAACTGGTAGCAGAAATTTTGAGTAGTTTGGAGAACTGGCAAATACCACCTCTGGCTGGCCCCAGAGTGGGGTGGGAATGGAGATTTTGCAATATCCTTCCCCCAGGAGTGGGGGGGAATGGGGATTTTGCAGTATCCTTCCCCAGGAATGGGGTGGGAATGGAGATTTTGCAATATCCTTCCCCCAGGAGTGGGGAGGGAATGGAGATTTTGCAATATCCTTCCCCCAGGAATGGGGAGGGAATGGGGATTTTGCAGTATCCTTCCCCTGCCACGCCCACCAAGCCATGCCCACAGAACCCATAGTAAAAAAAAATTGAATTCCACCACTGCAACCATGGATTTTCTGGTGGCCTCTTATCCTGACACTAACCAACTCTAACCATTTCTGGAATAGCTGAAGTAGGCTAATGTTGTTGTAACTAATGTTGAAGTGTTGCTAGAGATTTTATCATGCAATAATATTCTGGACACGAATAACTTGCATTTTCCGTAGTGTTAATTTTGAAGCAAAGATCATAGATGACCTTGAGATGATCCTCGATCATTTCAACCCACCGGCTTCTATTTTTTTCCCTTTTGACTTTACTATTCCTTTTATGGATATTAAAATATCCATCTTTTTTTTTAAAAAAAAAAAATTCTGAAAGGAGCCAGGAAGAGGAAGAAAAAGACCAGAAAGTCAAAACTTATTTACAACACTTAAGAAATGGGGTGGGAATGGAGATTTTGCAATATCCTTCCCCCAGGAGTGGGGAGGGAATGGAGATTTTGCAATATCCTTCCCCCAGGAATGGGGAGGGAATGGGGATTTTGCAGTATCCTTCCCCTGCCACGCCCACCAAGCCATGCCCACAGAACCCATAGTAAAAAAAATTGAATTCCACCACTGCAACCATGGATTTTCTGGTGGCCTCTTATCCTGACACTAACCAACTCTAACCATTTCTGGAATAGCTGAAGTAGGCTAATGTTGTTGTAACTAATGTTGAAGTGTTGCTAGAGATTTTATCATGCAATAATATTCTGGACACGAATAACTTGCATTTTCCGTAGTGTTAATTTTGAAGCAAAGATCATAGATGACCTTGAGATGATCCTCGATCATTTCAACCCACCGGCTTCTATTTTTTTCCCTTTTGACTTTACTATTCCTTTTATGGATATTAAAATATCCATCTTTTTTTTTAAAAAAAAAAAATTCTGAAAGGAGCCAGGAAGAGGAAGAAAAAGACCAGAAAGTCAAAACTTATTTACAACACTTAAGAAAGAATTGAGTTTTTGTTTTGTTTTTTTTGTTTTTAGCCAAACTCTAAACCTGTAAAAATACCATGTTACATTAATGGAAATCTTTACTTTTTAACTTCACCCTGGCTAGAAAACTAGTCTTTATTACAGAAGAAGAACTATGACAATAAGAAATAGTGTTATTAACCTGTATGTCCATTCACCTTCACTGCTGAGATGTACACCACTATAATGATCATTACTATGTCAATATAAAAGTAATTTTGTCTCCCTGAGCATTCTGTCTTCCTGTCCACTTATCGGGAAACTGACCAGTATTTGCTAATAGAGCCAAACAGAGTTCTAAAGTGAAAAGCAACTGCAAAATGATGCTGCCCATATATTAGTTTTGCCTTGAGAAAAGCGCTGCTTATTTATGCGTACAAGCAATTCAGGATCTTATCCTGTGTTCACCTCCAAGAAAACTGTGAGAGGAGAGGGGGAAGGGGGAAAGGGGAAGGGAGGAGAAGGAAGAAGAGGAGAGGAGGGGAGGGGAGGAGAGAAGGGGGAAAGGGGAAGGGGAAGGGAGGAGAAGTAAGAAGAGGAGGGGAGGGGAGGAGGGGGGAAGGAGAAGGGGAATGGAGGAGAAGAAAGAAGAGGAGAGGAGGGGAGGGGAGGGGAGGAGGGAAGGGGGAAAGGGGAAAGGAGGAGAAGAGGAGAGGGGAGGGGATGGGAGGAAGGGAGGGGAGGAGGGGGGAGGAGAAGGGAAAGGAAGGAGAAGAAAGGAGAGGAGGGGAGGGGAGGAGAGGAGAGGAGAGGAGGGGAGGAAGGAAGGGGGAAAGGGGAAAGGAGAAGAGGGGAGGGGAGGGGAGGAGGGATGGGGACGAGGGGGACGAGGGGGAGGGGGAAAGGGGAAGGGAGGACAAGAAAGAAGAGGGGAGGGGAGGAGAGGACGACAGGAGGGGGAAGGGGAAAGGGGAAGAGGAAGGGGAAGGGAGAAAGAAGGAAGAAGAGGAGATGGGAGGGGAGGGGAGGAGAGGAGAGGAGGGGGAAGGGGAAAGGGAAGAGGAAGGAAGGGAAGAGAAGAGGAAAGGAGAGGAGAGGAGGGGGGAAAGGGGTGACGAAAGGAGAGGAGAGGAAGGAGGAAGGGGAGGGGGAGGAAGAGGGAGGGGGAGGGGGAGGGGAAGGGAAAGGAGAGGAGAGGAGAGGAGTTACAGCAAAATCATCACTAAAACAGTTGCATGACTCGAAAAGATGCTACGAATTGCCAGTGGAGAAATAACCCACGATACAACACAGCAAAAAAGAAACCTGGTATCCTCAAAGAAAAGAAATTATAAATTGCCTCAGACATTTGAGCTGGGGTGTTAGGTCATCCTTGTTACGTAGGTGGGTTGGTTAATTGCTGCTTCATATTGATTAAAAGTATAATAGAATTAAAAGAATAATCTATGTTGACCTTTGGCCCATGATGCATTGATGACTAGGATTCTATTTTTGGGGTGGGGAGTGGGGAATGGAGGGGGTTTCTTCTTCCTGCTTTTCGTTTCTTGTCAGACACCCAGGAGCAAGAAAAGAAGCGGCATACCTTGCTACCATAAATACATAAAAATTTTTAAAAAATTCCCCAACCGCTTACCTTTGCAACATCCTCTGTGGAGCAGCGATCGTGAACTGATTTCCCCTTCTCCTGATGTTCACGTACCTCTGATCTGTCAGACCCGTCTGAAACTGCCATCTAGAAAAGAAGAAAGCGTATTCAGCAAACAGTCTGCCCAACAACCAGATTCGCTTTTCCTAAAAACAATATTCCAGGTTAATCCGAAACTCATAACAGAACAACAGAATACTAGAATTGGAAGGGTCTTCTACTCCAACCCACTGCTCAAGTAGGAGACCCTATACCAGTGATGGCTAACCTTTTTGCCGTTGTGTGCCAAAAGCGGAGGGGTTGTGCGCACATGTGCCCACACCCATAATTCATGTGCACGCAACCCCCCCATGCGACCCACGCTTTCGGCCCTGTAGGCCTGGTAGGCCTGTTTTTCGCCCTCCCCAGGCTCCAGAGGCTTTCTAGGAGCCTGGGGAGAGTGAAAATGGCCTTCCCCACCCCACCCCGGAGGCCCTCTGGAGGCCGGAAACTACCTGTTTCCTGGCTTCCAGTGGGCCCAGAAGGCCGAAAATCAGTTGGTCGGCGCATGCATACACGTTGGAGCTGAACTAAGGCAACACTCGTGTGCCCACAGATATGGCTCCACGTGCCACCTGTGGCACGTGTGCCATAGGTTCGCCATCACGGCCCTATACCAGTGGAAAAATCCAAATTTTTTTACTACCGGTTCTGTGGGTGTGGCTTGGTGAGAGTGGCTTGGTGGGCGTGGCAAGGGAAGGATACTGCAAAATCCCCATTCCCTCCCCACTCCTGGGGGAAAGATATTGCAAAATCCCCATTCCCACCCCACTCTGGGGCCAGCTAGAGGCGGTATTTGCCGGTTCTCCAAACTACTCAAAATTTCTGCTGCCGGTTCTCTGAACTGCTCAAAATTTCCACTACCGGTTCTCCAGAACCTGTCAGAATCTGCTTGATTTCACCCCTGCCCTATACCAGTGATGCCGTCGCGTGCCAAAAGCAAGGGGAATGGGGGGGTCGTGGGCGCGCGTGCCCCCATCCATAATTCAATGTGCCCTGCCCTCCCACACAAGTGCACGTGACCCCAGCCCCGCGTTCCCCCCCTGCTTTTGGCACATGATGGCATGGTGGGCCAAGTAGGCCCGTTTTTTGCCCTCCCCAGGCTCCAGAGGCTTTCTTGGAGCCTGGGGAGGGTGAAAACGGCCTTCCCACCCCCGTCCCCATCCCCCGGAGGCCCTCTGGAGACCGGAAATGGCCCATTTCCTGACTTCCAGTGGGACTGGAAGGCCCATTTTTCACCCTCTCCAGGCTCCAGAGGCTTTTTAGGAGCCTGGGGAGGGCAAAAATGGCCTCCCTCCCCCGGAGGCTCTTCAGAGGCCGGAAATGACACATTTCCCGACTTCCGGTGGGACCGGAAGGCCCGAAAATCAGCTGGCCAGTGCATGCATGCGTGCTGGAGCTGAGCTAAGCTAGGGCAAATCGCGTGCCCACCGATTTAGCTCCGCATGCCACAGGTACCATAGATTCGCCATCACGACCCTATACCATTTCAGACAAATGGTTGTCCAATTTCTCCTCCAGTGTTGTAGCACCCACAACTTTTGGTGTCAAGTTGTTCCATTGGTTAATTGTTCTCATTGTCAGGAAATTTCTCCTCAGTTCTAGGTTGCTTCTCTCCTGGATTAGTTTCCATCCTTTGCTTGTTCTGGAGAATATTTCTTTCCCCTCTTTCAAACAATACCCATCTTGCAAGGATACATAATGCAAACTGTTTATTCAACACAGTGCCATAAACAACCACAATATGGCATTTCCTGGGAATAATTCCATTTACTACAACGCCTGTGGTGTAACAACCATCCTTAGAAAGCAGTTGTCCTTGTTTTGAAAATGCATTGGATGGGCTTTTGAGTAGTAAACCAGCATATTAAATCAAAACAAATTTTTATGGCGGTCATAAGGCCTGCAGTCAGACACAGAATGAAACAAATTAAACATGAATATGTAAACTAAAAGAATATATGTGCACTAAAAAATAGGAAATCAATATAATTCAACAGTCACAAAACAAAGTGGATGAAACATGTAGAGGAACAGAATTGAACGACCTCCAAGGGTATGTCTCAACATGATTCGATTTGATTTGATTCAATATGAGAAATATGTTATATTTTCTAGTAACTATGTCAAGTAACGGGGTGAGCTCCCGTTACTTGTCCCAGCTTCTGCCAACATAGCAGTTCGAAAGCATGTAAAAAATGCAAATAGAAAAATAGGGACCACCTTTGGTGGGAAGGTAACAGCGTTCCGTGCGCCTTTGGCATTGAGTCATGCCGGCCACATGACCACGGAGACATCTTCAGACAGTGCTGGCTCTTCGGCTTTGAAACGGAGATGAGCACCGCCCCCTAGAGTCGGGAACGACTAGCACATATGTGCGAGGGGGATCTTTACCTTTACTTTTATGTCAAGTAAATCTCTGCTTTGGTGTTGATGCTGATTTTTTTTTTCTTTACAGGTAGTCCTTTTTTTTTTTTTTTTTAATTTGATTTATATGCCGCCCTTCTCCGAAGACTCAGGGCGGCTTACAGTGCGTTAAGCAATAGCCTTCATACTTTTGTATATTTATACAAAGTCAGCTTATTGCCCCCACAAACTGGGTCCTCATTTAACCTACCTTAGAAAGGATGGAAGGCTGAGTCAACCTTGAGCCTTGGAGAGATTCGAACCAGCAGTAAATTGCAGGCAGCTGTGTTAATAACAGGGTGCTTTAAACCACTGTAGTACCAAGGCTCTTTGACTTATGATCACAATTGAGCCCAAAATTTCTACTGCCAGAACCTGTCAGAACCTGCTGGATTTCACCCCTGGTGTTTAGATCATTCTCTGGGTGAGAGAGTGGTGATCCTTCTCTTCCTTCATGTAACCATGAAACTTAAACGTTATTTTAACAGTCTCCATTTCATATCGAGTCACTGCTAAAATACATTTTCAGCTGCTGATCACATACTGTACTATAGCTGTGTTCTCAGATAGCTTTCTAATCGGAATTATCAAGTTCCTCATGCTTTTTAATTACTGAATCATAGGCTAGTGAACAGCGCATGGTTCCAGCATCCAATAAATGAAATATGGAATTTAATCACAGGCACAGCGAAGGGAGGAATTAACCCATGGCACAAGAGCTGTTTATGTGATCCCATTGGCCACCAGCAAAAGTGGGAACTGCGGTAAACCCAATGAAAGTGAAATGCAACCAAAAATATAAGGGGAAAACATTTTAAAACATTAGCTTTGAGAACATAGGAATGGTGAAATTTGAGAAACTTTCCAAAGGAATTTCTTCATCTAGTTGTCATTGCACAAAAGATCCTATCAGCTGCCACAGGGTTTCCAGAACAAGTCTTCATTAGAGGATCTTCACCAAAATATAGATTTACATGAGAAGAGATTGTGCAACAGGCAGATAGATAGATAGATAGATAGATAGACAGACAGACAGACAGACAAACAGACAGACAGACAGACAGACAGACAGACAGGATGGATGGATGGATGGATGGATGGATGGATGGATGGATGGATGGATGGATGGATGGGCGGACGGAGAGACATGATAGATGATAGATGATAGATTGATAGATGATAGCTAGATAGATGGCTAGGTAGGTAGGTAGGTGTAGGTAGGTAGATAAGCAGGTAGGAGACAGGCAGGCAGACTGATGATACTGGTAGATAGCTAAAAAATAGATAGATAGATAGATAGATAGATAGATAGATAGATAGATAGATAGATAGATATGATATGATATGATATGATATGATATGATATGATATGATATGATATGATATGATATGATATGATAAATGGATGGATGGATGGATGGTGTCAAGCCCGGCGTGCCCGACATACAACCGGGACGGGAAGGCAGATCGGAAAGAGTAACACATCCCCAACAAAACTACAACGTAGAGGGGGCACGGGAAATAAGCGGCATGGGAAATGGTGGAGGGGCGTCGGTGGAGGGATTGCGTTTAGGACGCGGAGGAACCCGGAATGAGAAAACCGGAAACATTGCTGCAACTCACCCCAACACAGCTGAGCCACACGTTCATCAAGAGAGGGGTGGGGCACTAGGATATAAAAGCGCTGCGAGGCGGATGCTCGTAGCGCCAACTTTGAAAGTTTGTAGCTTGCCGTTGTTCCGTAACTGATGAAAAGCATTAAACCAGGATTCACTCTCCAGTTGATGTGTCCAGCTATGTTTTATTGCTGTCTCCGTGCTATGCGGGACAAGGAGCTGAGAGATGGTTGGATGGATGGACGGACGGAGAGACATGATAGATGATAGCTAGATAGATGGCTAGGTAGGTAGGTAGGTGTAGGTAGGTAGGTAAGCAGGTAGGAGACAGGCAGGCAGGCTGATGTTACTGGTAGATAGCTAAAAAATAGATAGATAGATAGATAGATAGATAGATAGATAGATAGATAGATAGATAGATAGATAGATAGATAGATAGATAGATAGATAGATAGATCACTGACACAGAGAGAATGCCATTGGATGGATGGATGGATGGATGGATGGATGGATGGATGGATGGAAAGATAGAGGGATAGATAAATTTTAAAAATAGCCTGCTTCCTCTTGGATTGCTTTATAGTTTAATCAGAATAGCACTGGAAGGGACCTTGGAGGTCTCCTAGTCCAATCCCTTGCTCAAGCAGAAGAGTCTATATCAGGGGTTCAAACATGTAGCCCGCCGTACAGATACGGCTCACGCAGGCCATGACCACCCCACTGGTTAATTGCTCTCAATGTTAGGAAGTTTCTCCTTAATTCCAGGTTGCTTCTCTCCTTGATCAGTTTCCATCCATGGCTTCTTGTCTTGCCTTCTGATACTTTGGAAAATAAGTTGACCCAACCCCTCCCCACCCCCTCTTCTTTGTGGCAGCCCCTTAAATACTGGAATACTGCTATCATATCACCCTTAGTCCTTCTTTTCTCTAGACAAACCCTAACCAAATCCTGCAACCGTTCTTCATCTGTTTTCGTCTCCAGGCCTTTTTAATCCCCTTAGTTGCTCTTCTTTGCACTTTTTCCAAA